AAAAATGTAATTTTATCAAAGTTTAAATTTTCGTTTGACATATTTATATCACTTAAAATATATACTTCTAATTAATATTTAGTATTAATATTTATAATTTAGATCTTCATTAAATTTATTAATATTTGATTAGTTATACGAACTTGGAAGTTTATGTGGTTTACTAACGGGAAAAGTCCAAACTACTGAACATCTCCATAATGTGCAAGTTTTATGCAGTGGTATGCAGAGTGGTCATGACTTATCTGCTGCGACTGAATCTATTGCAACACTCAAAAGGGCTCTATCATCTTCAGATACATTTAGTAAACATTATTTGGTAATTAAATAATTCATAATATCANTATATATATATATATATATATAGATAGATAATATTATATTATATATATTAGTATATAGAATTATACTTTTCTAAATAGTAATCATTATTATTTTAATGGAACTAATGAAATTTATGTATAATATTAACTCTATTATTGTGTTCTAGTAGAACGCAATCATTTATTTTGTTTATTTAATATTGTACTAATTGATAAATTAGTAATTAATATTGTATTACTATCCAGTCTTGGTTTAAGGATATGTTTTGGTATGATATTTAATTAAGAATACCTATTTTGTTGATAAACAGAATAATGAAGTCGTACATTGTTGATTTTAATTTTCATAAAGTTAAAAATGTAATTTTATCAAAGTTTAAATTTTCGTTTGACATATTTATATCACTTAAAATATATACTTCTAATTAATATTTAGTATTAATATTTATAATTTAGATCTTCATTAAATTTATTAATATTTGATTAGTTATACGAACTTGGAAGTTTATGTGGTTTACTAACGGGAAAAGTCCAAACTACTGAACATCTCCATAATGTGCAAGTTTTATGCAGTGGTATGCAGAGTGGTCATGACTTATCTGCTGCGACTGAATCTATTGCAACACTCAAAAGGGCTCTATCATCTTCAGATACATTTAGTAAACATTATTTGGTAATTAAATAATTCATAATATCAATGATCTTAGTTTAGATGATTAAAACGTAATAAAAAGAAATGTTTTGGAATAGCTGAATTTGCTTTTTTATTTACTTATATATCAAACTAAAGAGAATAAAATACTTTCTTGTTTAAATTTATCTGTATTGTTTTATTCTTAACTGAAGTCTTTGTGAAAAAACAAACATTATTTTAACTTTGAATTGAGACTTTAAAATTTATCATTAACTTTTTTATGTTATTATAAAGCATTTCTTAAAAAATAATTTTTACTAATTAAAATATTATTATGTAACACAAAGGAAGTTGCTGAATTAGCTATTAGTGCTAACAAACATAACAAATTAATGACGTGTGCACATAGTTTAGTTGGTTTGGAATTGGCCAAATTTTACACATTATCTGGTGATACTACTAAACGAACAATGTTTTTAGTCCGAGCATTAAACATTTTTGAACAAGATAACTGGGATTTATTAGTTGTTCAAACTAATTTAGAATTAGTAAAATGTTTTAAAAAAATTGGAAATGTTGATCAGTAAGTTCTTTCCTAAAAAATCTGAAACCGTTTGAAAATACAAATTTTTTTTTTTTAATAATTTATTGTTTAAGGTTTGTGAAAACATGCCTACAGCTATGTTCTTCTCCTAATTGTAACATGCAAATAAGGCAAGATCATTTTGATCAAATGTTAGAAATGGTTAATATTTCTAATATAGGTAAGTAGAAATTAAACGAATAAACTAAATAAAATTAAAATAATTGATAAAGATAAAAAAAGTTTTCAATACAAATTTATATAGTTATTAAAATATACATTTGTTAATAAAAAAAACAGGGTAATTTAAAAGATTTTATCCAATTATAAGCTGACATTATTCACTAGCTGCTCAACTTAGTTTAATTATTCTTAAATACTAAGATTTGTCAAGTTTATTTGCATTCTTAATGAATAGGACCTTGTGATAAATTAAATGAAACCCTTCAGTACAATCTGTTTGTAATGAAATTTCAACTCTATACAGAAAGTATTTTATATACTTTGCTGAAGTCAATGCGAAATCAGCCATAATTATTTAATGTAATTTTAAATACTTATTTAGCTGAAACTTCAACTGCTTAAAACATTCAGTTCCATAAATGTATTTAAA